AGACCTATTATCGTTAGAAATTAAACTAAAAAATCATTAACCGTTTCAAAATGGCGGCCATTTAAAATATTTGATGCCAAATTTCACAAAAACCGTTAACTTTACAAAAAAATTACAAGAGACAAAAAAGCTTGTAAATTTTATGTAGTTTTCAATGATACCTTATTTGTTAAAATTGGATAAATAATAACAGAGAAATGTCTTCTTTTCTAAACGCATGACCACTTTTCTCCATATAAACAATGCGAAACGAGTATTAGCATTGTTTAAATGGAGAAAAGTTGTCATACATTTAGAAAACAACACGTTTCTCTGTTATTATTTATCCAATCTTAACAAATCAGGTACCATTGAAAACTACATAAAATTTACAAACTTTTTTGTCTCTTGTAATTTTTTTGTAAAGTTAACAGTTTTCGTGAAATTTGGCATCAAATATTTTAAATGGCCGCCATTTTGAAACGGTTAATGATTTTTTAGTTTAATTTCTAACGATAATAGGTCTTAAAAAGATTAACATTTTTGCAAAATATCAAAGCTGTATCTCAAACCGTCTAGGAGTTATTAGTTTTTTTGTAAAAAACACATAAATACCGACAGTCGGTAAACTAGACACCATAGACCCATGTTCCTATGGTGAAATGTATTTGTCTTGACCTAAGGAATAACGCTATATACAAGTGTCCAGAGAGTTACGGGACACCCTGTATATTCATATATACAGGGTGAGTTTCTACTGACCGTGTTAACTTCGCCAGTAGGTTCTACTCACTAAAAGGAACAAAAAAGTTCCTATAAACCCATGTCCGATTTTCGACCGTTTGGCTGTTTTGGGGGATTTTGTGTTTTTCTTATTTTATTAGACTTTGCTCCACAATTTATGTAATAAAAACTTAACCAATTACTTTAGAGAGTTATAGTTATTATCATTGGAAAGAACATTAAATTTGCTATAAATCAAAGGTTTCATTCAACAATTATACCATTACATAGTCCACGTTATAACCAAAATAAAGTAAAAATGTCATTAAATTAATTAATTACGATAATTTTCATGGGCCTCCTTTGATACATAAACCTGCATTTATGCAATGTTGAAATGCATAAAAAACTTGGCATTTTAATAATCTTTCAAATGATATGCTATTCAATACTATTATTGATATAAACCAGTGAGAAATTACTAATAAACTACAATAAAACACGGTTTACAGATTTTGTTTTTGCACAGTTTTACTGTTAATAATAATTACTGTATTCATCATGTTGGCATAATCTTGATTGGTAAAAGGCTCCATATTTTAATAAATGTTGAAAAACTCTTAATTGACTTGGAAATATAAAGTTAAAACAGCAAATTACTCAACAAGGTATGTTCAAGCGGCTGAGTTATCTAGCTATAGATGACAAATCAATAAAAGCTGACTTATCAAGCACAAGGTAAAACTAATTACACAGCATTTAAGAATCAAACACACTACATCTTTGAAAATGTGAAAAACCTTGAGTTTATACATTTTATTAATTCAGATAATTTTAATAAATATTTAAAAGTTAAAATAATGTACAAATTTTATCAGATAGTTCAATAAAATACATCATGGAGTATACAGTAATTATTATTAACAGTAAAACTGTGCAAACACAAAATCTGTAAACCGTGTTTTATTGTAGTTTATTAGTAATTTCTCACTGGTTTATATCAATAATAGTATTGAATAGCATATCATTTGAAAGATTATTAAAATGCCAAGTTTTTTATGCATTTCAACATTGCATAAATGCAGGTTTATGTATCAAAGGAGGCCCATGAAAATTATCGTAATTGATTAATTTAATGACATTTTTACTTTATTTTGGTTATAACGTGGACTATGTAATGGTATAATTGTTGAATGAAACCTTTGATTTATAGCAAATTTAATGTTCTTTCCAATGATAATAACTATAACTCTCTAAAGTAATTGGTTAAGTTTTTATTACATAAATTGTGGAGCAAAGTCTAATAAAATAAGAAAAACACAAAATCCCCCAAAACAGCCAAACGGTCGAAAATCGGACATGGGTTTATAGGAACTTTTTTGTTCCTTTTAGTGAGTAGAACCCACTGGCGAAGTTAACACGGTCAGTAGAAACTCACCCTGTATATACAGGGTGTCCCGGAACTCTCTACCAATATTTTAGGGCATTGTTCCTGGGTAAGAAACATATCTAAATATCATATTTAAATTGTCCGGAAGTCCTTATTTACTCAGATAGCCGCCATTTTGTTTTTTTAACTTATTAATTTTTTTCTGAAGATTGGTTGAACATACGAAGTTGAAACTTTGCACAAACATTTATGACAACTAGACAACGCTACAAAAAAATTATGACGATTTTTCAAATTAATAAAACAAAATGGCGGCTGTTTAAAATTTTGTTTCTTAAATTACTCGAAAACCGTTGATTTTACAAAACTTTTACAAGAATAACTTTTTTAAGGCAATTTTATTACAAATCGATCGACACCTTAATCTTTAAGATCGGACGAGTATTAACTGAGATATGGCAGTTTTAGTGATACGTGACCGCTTTCAGCATGCGCTGCAACTAATATCCGGCGGTCACGTATCACTAAAACTGCCATATCTCAGTTAATACTCGTCCGATCTTAAAGATTAAGGTGTCGATCGATTTGTAATAAAATTGCCTTAAAAAAGTTATTCTTGTAAAATTTTTGTAACATCAACGGTTTTTGAGTAATTTAAGAAACAAAATTTTAAACAGCCGCCATTTTATTTTATGAATTTTAAAAATCGTCATAATTTTTTTGTAGCTTTGTCTAGTTGTCATAAATGTTTGTGCAAAGTTTCAACTTCGTATGTTTAACCAATTTTCAGAAAAAAATTAATAAGTGAAAAAAACAAAATGGCGGCTATCTGAGTAACTAAGGACTTCCGGACAATTTAAATATGATATTTAGATATGTTTCTTACCCAGGAACAATGCCCTAAAATATTGGTAGAGAGTTCCGGGACACCCTGTATATTTATATATGTGTCCGTTAGCGCGATAACTCAAGCAAAATTGATCCGATTTTAATGAAATTTGGTACAAACGTGTAAACCTACATTTATTCGAACGAGTTCGCGAACCAGCATAATCGGACCATGGGATCAGGGGTTTATGGGGGGTTTTATGGGGTAAAAATGGGTTTTTCTCATTTTTGACCCTAATTTCTCTCTAGACCATTTTGAAGAGCTTAAAAAAACAAATAATTTAGTATATTGAAGTGTTTTTGAATGTTCATTGACTACGGAGAAAATAAAAACACATCTCAACATCTTCCCCGTAGCAGCAAACCTAACTAGGCCTACTCACTAAAATTAATGTGATTTAAATAGGAAATAAATCTGAAAATTTATAGGGCATATTTTAGTAGAAATCAACCCGGGTAAATGGAAATTCGCTTAGTATGCAGGTTTGCTGCGACGGGGGTATTTACTTAGGGCATAGGAATGAACATTTTCACAAAGTTTCATCAAATTCTGAGATGGTGGGTTTCATGACCCAATTTTTCACCTATAAAAAAACAACATAAATCTGATCAAACATAACCAGACCAAAAACTTCTAACCGTTAGCATATTCCTTTATGATGTCAGAAAAGAAATTTAAGGATGGTAGGTCATTCTTTATGAGGAATCGTGACTGCATTAAATCCTTTGAAGGTAGCCTCCTTTGAAGGTTAGACTAGGTAAGTTAAGGTAAAGTTTAGGTTAAAACGAACCAAGTTATTAGTTTCTATTTTCTCTAGACTGTTTTTTTTTTTCAATTAAAATACTGGGTAGGACAAGGACACTGCAAAATGCTAATAAAAATAGCCCCCAATTATCTACGATCTACCATCCTCACATGCCTAAAATTAGGTGTCTGCCAGTCCATTTCTATATAATGAGACAAAATTCCCCGTTAAAGGATACAGCATAGACTAGAAAATATAAATCACTTAGAAGTTTATTTCTAGCCTATTTAATAAAAGATAATTTTCAATTTTTAATCAACAATATTCTTGATCTTTTTCTCATATGAGTTAATCTCTTCCTGTCTTTACCTCCCCCACCTTCACTTAAGAGTCTTCATCAGTGGTAGCCTTAGTTTCACCAATTCTGTAGACAGAAGGATTGGTGTTTGTACAGTAACTAGTAGGTTCACACCACTATGGGGCTACTTACCTATGCAGAATACCTTTGAACATGTCATACCACTCTTCCCGCACTAAACTTGTAATAGTCTAGTCTATGTACTTATGTATGTATCTTTCTAGAACATAGGCCTAAGTTTTGTTAGTACAGTACTTTGGTATTATCCGGAGGCCACCCTTGTACAGCGCGCTGCGGCGGTTATGTTAGTTTGGGTTATCATAAATGGAAAGAACATACTTTACTTGAGTTCTGTCTCCCAGAAGGCAGGGATGTCGGCGAGGATTGAGTTATGCGTCACCAGCTCTAGCTGGCACAGGCGGTGATAATACCAAAGTACTGTCTAGTTTAAATTTACCATTTACAGCATAAAGCTTTTTGTCAAATAGAATGTTTTGGAATTAATAACGCAACCTCCACTTTTTATTCTTAATTTATAACATGTTGTTATATTTTAAGTCGGGATCTTGAAACACCCGCCATTTTCTTGATAGGCTAATCCACACATGGGATGCCGATATATCTGCACCATTTTCGTTGTACAAATAATTATTTATACACTCTAAGAAATATTTTGTTGAAATTTGAGTAGTGTTTTATTAAAAAAAAGGAAATTTTGGTTAACTTAAATGTATAAGAAAGAAAACTAACTTACTATCATTTTATAAAATTTTTGATTGTTCTAGGCTACGAGACCCGCCAGTCAAGGAAGGGTTAAGAACTTCCCCTGCTCAAGCAGCGGTCAAGAATATTGTACGTTTAGTTATTTGGTTGGTGAATAAACTGATTAACTGATTTCTTTTATTATTTATTTCAGCCAGCGTACCATAATCTTCGACAGAGGGTAGAGGGTTCCGTGGCTGCATTTCTCAGGATGAATCCCTGGAGGCCTGACATGAACAAAAACCAGCTCAGAGATAATCTGCGAAAACACATCCAGAGGTAGAGTATTTCAACTGGCAAAAAAGAAAGTCCCAGTAAACAAAAATTCCTTTTTTACCTTATTGAAATTCCAGAAGGATTGCATTTTAGAGTTTAGAATGGTTTTGTTGATATAATAGGCCTACAGTTAGTTATAGAACTATATCTGACATATGCACCCAAAAATCATACTCGCTGTGTAGCTGAGTGGTTATAGCGCTCGCTTTACAATCCAAAGGTTGGGGCGCCCCAACCTTAAGGTTGGGGGGTCTGACTTAGGGGAGGTACGATTGAGGCATTAGTTTAAAATTCCTCCGTGAACAGCGCTATAGTAGAGAGCATTTTGGCAATGAAGGTTTACTAATCGCAAAAATAGTTCTGTTCATAAAATAAAATTATAAATGCCTCAAATTCAATTTTATAGTTTTATAATTATAAAATTACTATCATAACCTAACCGAACTAACCAAACTTGCTGATAATGAAATAAAATAATATAAAAAAGTTTATTAATAGAAAAAATAATTCTGTTCATAAAATAAAACTAGAATTTGCTCAATTAAAATTTTATAATGACTTAATTATGAAATTAAACCATCATAACCTAACCAAACCAACCAAACTTGCTGATAATGAAAACATCTTAGTCAAAAAGTTAATGCCACCAGCGGATTTCGAACCCGTAACTCACAGAACATCAGCCCGGCACGCTAACCACTAGACCACCGAGGCCGATGGTTGCAAACCGTGTTGTTACGGTAATAGTGTTCCCTCAGCTAATGAGAAGCCCACAGCTGTCATCGTGAGCTTATCTAGGCTATACAGTACCTCCCCTGAGTAAATACCCAAAGGTTGCTGGATCGATCCTAAGAACAGTCAGTATTTTTTTTTATAGTTTGTAACTAAACCTAGTTGTGTCTGATGTTTGGGCTTTAAAAAAAAATAATCCTGGCTAATGAAACAGCTGGTGTTCAGTCAAGTTGCCTTTGTTTTTTGTATTAATTTTATATGTCTTTGTTTTTAACAGTCCATCTGTAATTCCCATCACATTACCATATGTCAGTTTTCATTGTTGCATTCATTCATCGCAAATCACCTCTCATAACAACATGTTCTCATTATTTCTCTCATAAATTAAATCTTTTATACCAAAACATTTTTGGTCCTATCGAGCCGCGGATTTTTGGTCCTTTCGAGCCGCACATTTTTGGTCCTTTCGAGCCGCGGATTTTTGGTCCTATCGAGCCGCGGATTATATCTACGAACATTTGTGCGACTTTTTATCAGTTTATTTTCAATGTCTCGGTTGAACGTTTTTCATTCAACGTGAAGCCGCCAAGGACAATACCGCATCGCCATTTTGAACTTCGTCTACGTCACGATATAGTCCACACTCCACACTCCTCTCATTCCAAGTGTTCAACATCGTCATCGTTCTGCTAGTTCCGCTCCGCATTCATCACTTCGACACTTCATTTCGTCTACAACTTCAGCTTCAAACGTCATGTCAAAAGTAAGGTTATGTTTGTAATTCTTCAAAGACAATGAAGACAACGAACCACATCTCATCGTAAGTTATCAATATCAACACTGAAATAATAAAGAAACCCTGATTTTATTCCTCAGTCCTTATCCTCAAATTACTCCATCCATTTACAATAACTAGACTACTTACTTAAGTTAACTCATTGAACGATCTAGGCCTAACTTTCAAAATGAGATTTTCAACATTTTCTAATAGATGCAAATTACAATTAAATAAATTAAATACGATCAGTGAGTATATTCAATCATGTTCATCAGAAATAACAGAAGCTCAAACCGCAAAACTTAACCTTTATTTGCACGAAGCTAAAACCATTTCTGCCAATTTTGAATCTAACCTAGATAAGCTTCTTGACGTTGATGACGATACTAAGGTTTTTTCTAACAATGAAGAAGCTATTTCAAAGCTCCAGAACGACATATCAGAACTCTCAATTAACATTCAAACTGAAATTTCTCTTTTAATTCAGAACTTTAATGATGAACACTTGTCAATTAACTCGGTAACATCAAACCCAACCTCTAGGCCTACTACTAGCATAGTAAAATTGCCTAAGCTAGAACTGAAGTCCTTCAATGGTGACACTAAAACATGGATATCCTACATTAACTTTTTTGATACTACTATCCACAACAACAGTAGCTTATCCCTTGTTGAAAAACACCAGTACTTGATAAGTTCACTTGAAGGCGAAGCCTTACACCTAATCATATCCCTACCGATCTCGTCTGGCAACTATACAGTAGCCTATAATGCTTTGCGGGAAAGATACCACTCGAAGCGTAGGCTAATCTCTGTCCACCTCAGTAAAATTGTCGATTTGCCCAATATTACTGACTGTTAAGTATTTATCAGTTTTCTTTATTTTATTCCTATTTAAATTATTAACTCAATCAAAATTCATTAACCAATGTTTAGGTTTACAATCTATCTATCTATATATATAATACGCTAAGCCGATTTTTGTAAACAGAACTCCTCCCTCATTTTTGGACCGATTTTGATGATTAAAGTGTCAAATGAATGGCCCTGATCTGTAGTTTTGCAAAGTCTTTTTCGTTTTTTGAAATCTCTATTAGTTTGGGCAGGATCTTCCACCAAAGTTGGATTTTCTCCCATAAGATTAACATGGGGGAATGTAAATATTTAATTGGAAACTTTGTCTCCATTAATTTGAGAGAACGACTGGGCGTAGAAACTTGGTAGAGGTGTCCAAAGAAAGGTCTTGGTCCCTAGATGAGTTACCAAAAGAAAAAACTAAGTGAATCCCGTTAGGGCTTTGCCCCAGAAGCCCTCAAAGATCCCTCCACAGATTTGTTTACATTTTGTCCATGTGGATAATACTTTTTAATGAAACAGATGTTAATTTAAAATTGTATTTTAAACAACACACATTTACTGAATTGTCCAAAAGAAGTATTTGCAATGTTATTTTCTGATTTTAAAATTGATTTTCTTCTGTATCATGTCATATTTTGCAATATAACGTTCCATTATGAAATCAGTGGAAAATCCTTTTATCACAGTAACTGTTTTACCACTTTTGGCTATATTTTATCATACTATGAGATTATTGCCATACATTTTTTAAATCATTGGAAAAATCTTCGATTGTGTAATACAATGCAAAATAATACAAGTGCAGAAGTGTCTTATTAGCTTCAACATCCCCACAACCAATTTCCCAAAACTATGCTATTGGGTTATTTATTGGCACAGAAGTACGATATGAACTGACGCGACGTGACGAAGGAAAAATCAAACTTACACTGTAACGGATAGACCTCCCTTTTAAGTTAGAACGTGTCTTTTCAATAAACAGATATTTTTCTCAAATAAAATCATAGATTAATCTTTACTAGATAACACGTTGCTCGAAATCGAGCAAAACTGAAACTTGTATGTAAAAAAAAAACAAAAAACATGAACAGCAAGACCTTAATCAAAAGAGTTGCTCTAAAATAGTGTATATGACCGATTATAGAAATATAAAAATATTATGATGTAAAAAATATAAAAGTAATCTACAATATTTAAATTTACATTCACTATCATACTGCTTTGGTTATCTCTTATGTATAGTAGGCGGGTGCACTCTATGAGCACGTAGATGTCAACCACACACTGTAAAGTGAGCTTTTGACCTAATGTAGCTCAATTCCTCTCTTGACGCCAACCATCGCTACTCTTATTCTAGCATTGTTAAATTATTTCTTTTATGTGTTCTGTTTTAGGCGTGTTTAAATTAGGGTTCCCAACCCAAGTCTCTGGTTGGGAACATAAGAGGGTAAGCAAGTGGATCCAACGACAGATCTAGAATGGATACGCGTTTAACATTATTATTGTTGGAAAAAACTATACGATTTATTTGGCCAGGTGGTGCTTTGTTTTCAGCTTTAAAAATTGCTGCAACATCTACACATGTAGCACCATTGTAGCGAGGGAAGATACGTCTTCTGTCTCTTATTATGTACATAAGAATCTCACTTGACTCCTCGGAGCTCTCGTCCCTACATAATGTCTGCCACAGTCTTCAAAGATTTGCAAATGGGTCGGCATTGTGACCCTATTTCCCGCATATTTTTTCATTGCATTTTTTGTTTGAATTGTGCTTAATTCTCTTTTGGGTTCTAGTGACATTGTTGTACTTACTTATATATCTGTGCGTATTCAGGATCATCACCTTATTGAGGAATTAGAGGACCCACTCGGTGGTAAAACGTGTCACGGATCTTAAAATTGTAGATCCCCTGTGGAACTTTCTCGTCTTAATGAGCTTCGGAGCTGACCATGGTAAAGGCAGAATTGAATTGACAAACTTTATCCAAATAACTTCTATATATAAGTCTCACAGTCCTATTTTCAGATTGGGAGTTTCCAATAAGATCCTGAAGGTATTGTGAATTGCACAAATGAGGTAAACGAACCTTTCATTGATGACAACAAAGAGTAAAAACTTAACTGTCTCGGCCAGTCTTTTCTTGCTTAAAAATATGTAAGCTACTACAATGTAAACATTTAACGTTCATTTGTCCGAGATTAGACTATCACAACGGTGGTACTACCACTATGTACCCACCAAATGTTCAATTAAGAGGTTGATGCAAGCGGTCATGTTCGCGTTCTCTCCAGCCACTCACAGTTCTTCGTCGTACTGGCGGCATTTGATTTTAAATTTAAATGAAATAAGGAAGTTAACCAATCAACAGAAAACACTATAAAGCAATTGGAATTTTGATACACATTGTAAATTACGTGATAATATGGTAATGTAATGGATAACTGCCCTGCGAATAATAATTTTTAAACATTCACTTCATCACGTCGAACTGTAACATGATAATCAGTAAAATACGATGTAAGGTGAATAAATTTAACTATAGAAAAAAATAATAAAATATTTATTAAATATTTATTCTTAAACTCTTCATTATGAACCAGAACCAGACTTAGTTAACAGATTGAAACAAAATAT